TGGCTCTTGCTCATCACGTGTTGACGCTAACGTCGTCACGTATGATGCCGATATCGATCAAGTCGACATCGATGAAGAAGATCGCCTCAACAATAGCGATGACGCTATTATTGACTCGGATGATGATGACGATGCTGGTATATTCAGCATCGTCAACGATTATGCCAGCGAGGAAGAAGACAACCTCGCTGAAGAAGTGAGCAATCTCTTAGCAGTGAGCACGAAGCGCACTGCCAGACAAAACAAAGAGTCAGCAGAGAACTTCCTGCTGACTCGAGAAGCGGTAGTCCGTTTCGTTCAGGACTCCATCGCAAATGCGGTGGACCGTCAGAAACGGAACGCAGACAAGAATGGAAGAGCAAATGTTCTTTCATTTAAGGTTAACGACCTAGTACTACTGTCAACGGTAAACCTACCTGGACATGCAGTCACTAATGTCGGCAGTAGTAAACTACTGCCGAAATACATTGGTCCCTTTCGTGTGTTTCACCACAAGGGCAATGCATACACGATCGAATTGCCTCGTAGGATGCGCACGCATCCTACGTTATACGTGGGGAGGCTCAGGCCGTACTGTCAGTACGAGCCTTCTTCTTTCGATGAAGATAGCCCTACGTTCAAGAACATCCATCAAGCTCTTGCGTTCGCGCTCCAGACGATCCGTCTGGTCGCGCAGATATGATACCTCGGAACTCAACCGAGATATCTCCCCGCGAGCTGTCGCCAGCTCGCCGAATAGGGAGCGGACATCCCGCTCGACCTGAAGCTGCGCTGTGGCATAATCGGCGCGATCCCTCGCCCGATCAGCCTCGTGACCCTTGCGGTTCTTCCGCACCGTATCGGTCAAAGCGTAGCGCCGGTCGCGCTCGTGCTTCAAGTCATCGCGCAATTCATCGATTGCGCGATCCATCTCGTAAGGGTCGAGATGGTGAACCGAATCATCTGGAGGAGGTCTTTCCTCCTCCACCACATCCTTTGGTGGATGCTCACGTTGATCAACGCTTTCTAGTGGAGCGTATCTTGAATCACCGTGACGATTCAGGATCAAGGACGAGCTACCTCGTCCAGTGGCGGGGGTACCCACCTTCCTTTGACAGCTGGGAGCCCCGCTCTCAGCTGTTGATGGATGTTGAAGGTCTCGTCCGCCAGTATGACGAGACCCATCCGATGAGTCCTGTGGCCCGTCGGTAAACACGCGCCCTAGGCGCTTGTAGAAGGATTGCAAGTTTGCAATCGCGTCACGCATCTCAGCCGAGATGTGTGCCCTTCCCCAGGGCGAATCTAGGGAATACACATCCCTATGTGCACGCTGCAAGTTGTCAACACAACTCGCACAAGGGTCTCCCCATGTGAGGCAAGGAATGTCTGCCTCACTCGATAAACAATTCAACCAGTACCTAGCACCGGTTGGCGTTCGCCTTTCGAACCTGAGGCGTGTCGCATCAAGTTTCTTGAGCCACCCTTCTCGTCCAAAATTCTTTACGTTTTGGACAAACGCGTTCCACGCAGCCAAAAGCGAGCCTTTGTCACGCTTTTGGTTGCTGTTGTACCATCGATGTCTAAGGAAGACATCGAGATAAAAGTCTTCCTCTGCGCGAAAGTTCTTCGCGCTGAATCTCAAGCCGTGAAGCTCGGTTGCATCGAATAAGGGTATTCGAAAATGTTGGCCTGTCTCGTGAGACAGGCTATTGATGAGCCGTTCGGGCAAACGCCACGGCTTCAACTCATCACGCTTCACAGTGGTACCCTTGTCGGTACCGCGGCTCCCAGATTGACGACGGCTCGCGCCATCGTCATCACGCTCGTGCGAAGACGCACGAGCCGGCGGTGGTGAGGAATAGAATTCCTCACCACCCTGATCATCGTCATCACTGCCGAACAGACTGTGATGCAAATCACGAGTCCGTTCGTTCGGCAGTGGTCTTGGCGAATACTGAGGCGTCGCCGGTGAGCGAGACGCCTCTGGAGCATTGCCCGAGTCAGACACGTCTGACTCGCCAGAGTAGATGACCTCTACATCAGGGTCATCGTGCGCACGCGGTGTGATACCGCGTGCACCTGCAGCACCTGCTGCTGCAGGCGAAGAAAGGGCTGGCACAGCACCGGGCTGTGTGGGTCTTGAGTCACCTCGCATAGACATGTTAACTATGCGAGGTCAAGCGGAAAGTGAATGGTACGGACCCAACAAGTGCTTCCTGTCCCAATGGTGGCCAACGGGTGGCCTCCATATTTTCGATAGTCACACGGTGACTATCAGTTAAGGGGGGGTGATGTAACGGGGCAGCCCGTTACATGGAAATTGTCATTTCAGAGATAATGACAATAAAGAATATTATGTTCAATATTCTTATAACAATATCACCAATAGTGGTGATATTGATGGGTCGACCAAAGGGTCTGTTCATTGGTTGATATCGTGATGATATCAACCCACCAATCGCCGCAAGACGCGCGCAATGAGTGGTGACGAGACGTCACCATACATCCAGTTATATTAGTATAGTTAAAGCTAAGTCAAACAGAGAGACAATAGTTTAAAGATTTAATTATATTAATATAACAGTTCTACTTTTACCCTACCTACGCTTCCTCGCTTGCCACGTGTACGTCCGTCGGGGCACCCAAAACCCTTGCGTTAAGTTACGCAAGGGTGTGCCCCGTTACAATGGAGCCAGTCGGAAGAAGAAAGGCAAACATGTACCTTTAGTGACCTTCGACATCGCTATACCGTCCAAAAGTGACTTGTTGGCGCTGTTTCAGCTCTATGATGACGGGGCTGATCATGACGTTATTCTGCGCAAGCTACGTGCCTTGAGCCCGGGAGTAGCAAATGTGTTTCTGTACTCGGTGTAATTGGAAGCGGGGTGCTAACTTTAAAGGCGGAAATTTCCCAAGTTGGTTCCTTCCTTTTGAGTGACCATGAGAATGCAAAGGCCGAGAATTTGCTTAGCAGCGGCCAGATCAAGGTTCTTGAGGGAGCTTCAAATGGTTCAATTTTGATCGATGCCAAGTCGCTCGATGTTAAGCAATCTTTTCCATGGTGCAAATGACTCTCCTTAGCCACCAAATTGCTTACAAGGCTACTAGTGTCCTTGATCGTTACTATAACGGGGTAGCCCATTACATGATATCGTCATTAAGGATAAAATGACAATAAAGATTTTTACGTCGAATATTCTTTTAGCAATATCACAGACATGGTGATATTGTTGAGATGACCGAAGGGTCTACTCATTGGTTGATATGGTGATGTTATCAACCCACCAATCGCTGCTAGACGCGCGCAATGGGTGATGAGTAGGCGTCACCATACATTTAGTTATATTAGTATAATCAAGTCAGGACAACAGAGTTTCAAGAAGTTATAGGACTTAATTACATTAACCACAGTTTTACTTTTACCAAGAGACTAGTCTGAATACTTAGTCTCCTTTCCTTCCTCTGTATTCCCTAAACACCTAGCAGGGCACTGTCGACCACTGTCGTCAGTGGAAGTATACTCCGTACTGGTCAACCAGTACGTAGTCAACAGTGCCTCGTTACAGTATCTGGTTCCAGAAGTGCATTTCCAGTCGACGATAAACCCAAAAAAACCGTGTGAGGTCAAGCTATCGTTCCGTATAGGAAAGGCTCTTTGGCTTTTCTGGCATTATACCAACATCTCAGAGTAACTACAGAAGCCGTCGATCATATCGTTGCTCACCTTCGACGATTGCCGCTATGCGATGCATTGATCGTGGTTGAGATCGCAAAGAATGAGGAGGCGACTAGGCAAGTAGCTGTGCAGGTTGAAAAAGTTGTATGAGCGGCTTTTTGATCTAAAAACCGAGCGTTCGGACTTGTATCGTGATCTGTGGTACGCAGCTCGCCATTATGGGACATCAGCTTGCTTTGACCTTGTCGATCAATTCGTAAATGGATATGACGAGGCTCGCACTTTACAGCATGAACACGACCTGATTTATTTCCCTATCAATTTAGCTAAGCTAATGGAGGAATGAACGATCGTGTCAATAATAAGTACTCGCTATATACTTTTTTTTGTTTTTATCTCGTGCATTCCTTAATTCATTTACGCAACACGTTTGTGCCCAATGCATGTCATCCATTTGGTACGTTGCAGACCTCAATACCGACAATATGTGAAAAAGTGCGGATTAGGTAAGGAGAAAGATTAGGTCTATCCATTTGGTCGTTATTTTTCGCAAGGAGTGGATATCGACCACAATACACTGCAGTCGCATGGGGTCAAAAGAAAGATGAACTGTCGCTGGGATAAAGACCACTGCTTTATGCGTTGCAACAAGCGGAAATACATTGGTCGCAATCGCGACGCAGACATTTAGTGTTCATGCGATTTGCACAATCTCGTGTAGACGCGTGCGTTGACTGGAAGCGAGATGATGCACGCTTGATCGTTGCATAGGCTAACGCAGACGATTTCTCGTAAGAGCGACAGGATCGCTACAAACAGATAATCTTTGTGATATGAGGACGCTGTCGGTGAAAGGCTTGGGCGTTGCACGCACATTACTCGAAACGCGCATCCATTATAGTGATCAAACAAAGATTACGATCATTGTAGACGATTGAAGGTATGTCAAGGAATAGGTATCTCAGATGCTCATGATCCATGACTACCTATCGGTGATAATACAATGAATGCCTGGTCAATTTGTGGGTACATTATGAAGGCACCGTACGCGGCTTGTACATTTCTTTTCTTATCGAGAAGAGACACTTGGAGAGTAGTGACTTAGCACAACGTGTATCCCTTATATCTAGACACGGGCATCGTGGAGCGATACATGCGCGTTGAGATGACACAGGAGGCAGTCAAGTCAGTCGAGCCTTGAAGTTGCTGGAGTCGTGAAGCTGCTCTTTGTCCTCTACACCACACATCTGTCCTGACATTAACTTTGAGAATACTCAAAAGTAGACAATCTACAAACATGTAGAACAAACCAACGCGACTCGCGCACACGCGTGTGTTGCGCACGATGCTGTCCGGAGCGACGTTTGGGTGGCGGTGGCGGTCCCCAGTGCTGCACGTACACAGCATCGGCTCCTCAACACGCGATCTGCACGCGCTTCCCTCCCTTCGTTTGCTCCCGATATCCTGTGCACGAAGAGCTGCTGAACGACCGCTGACGCTGCGTCGATCGTTGAGTGGAGCGCCAGCGAATGATTCTGACCCGAAACCGGATCGCCAGAGCGCGTTGGAAGTGAAAGAGGCTGCGAAGAGATTGAGAGAGAAGCTGAAGAGGGACTTGGAGACCGCGAAGAGCCTTGTACGGCAGTAGCTACAGGTACTGACTGGAGTGCGGAACGTGTGAGTGTCCTAAGCGGTGTGGGGTTTTCGTGAACAGGCACTGCACCAGGTCGTGAACGTGCCAAACGTTATCACAGCTGCCAGGATCTTGGCCACACCTTACTTGTCGTATCTTATTGTCCAAGGCGACCATGTCTCCGCCATCGGCTGTACGGCCGCATGTGTACCGCCTTTGCAGACAAGATGGATAGTTTATTAACGGTGGTGTGTCGTGACTTGATGGTCGTTTCTTTGCAGTGCTAGCTATAGCTGGCGTCTCTGACTGGCTGGATGGTTTTATCGCAAGAACCTTCCATCAAGAATCGATTGTGGGTTCGTTCCTGGACCCGTTTGCAGACAAGTTGTTGATCGGCTCGTTGTCTCTCAGCACAATGTGGACGGGGCTGCTTCCGTTGCCTTTAGCTGTACTCATCTTGGGTCGCGACGGGATGTTAATCGGAGGTACATTTTACCACCGGCTCAAGACGAAGGACGAGTCGTTGGGATTCTTTGACACATCGGACAGCGAAGCCTTCCATGTTGAGCCAACACTTCTAAGCAAGGTGAACACAGCGCTGCAGTTATCCGCCTTCGGACTTGCGCTGACCAATGCGGCGTGGCAGATGCCTCCGGACCTGGCGTTGACGTTACTTTTGTACGTGCTCATTTCTTTGTTGTGGTCGCATAGCACGATACTGATACTGGCTGTGTCGTATGATGCTTAGCGGTGTTACTGGTTTGACGACATTTCTGTCAGGATCTCAGTACTGGTACGGGTACATAACAAAAACTGGTGCTTTCAGACCTCTGCCGAAAACGCTTGGGCGGCCGCTTTGTAAAGCGGTCGAGCGCACTGGAGCAGTCATAGCGCGCACAGAGGCAGTTGTCAAGCACACGAAGGAGGTCATGAGGCACCCGCTGAAAAAGGCGAGTGGGCACAAGACGAAGGAGCAGCTGAAGAAGTAGTCATTCGGAGCTACGAACGAGCACGACACACAACAAAAGTCTCGTCGTAATGCGTCCATTCATTCACTTTTGCTCGTTGCCACTTCTGCATTTCGCACCACTATGCGGACATCTAGTAACGAAAGTAAAGACCGGTATCCTTGCGCGAATCCTCTTTCTGCGGCAAACCCGTCTCACCCACGTCCCGCAAGATCTTAAAGCGTTCCGCGTCAGCTTCGTACTCCTCAAAGCTCTTTGCGCACTCCACGGCATACTGCTCCGCAAGTTCGGTATACTCGGCTGAGCACTGCTGCATGAAGTGCATCTCCTCAGCCGTGAGGTCGCGCAAGTAGCGAGCAGGGACGCCCGACCAGAGCTGCCCTGAAGGCACCTGCTTGTCTTGGGTGACAATAGAGCCGGCCGTGATGACGGACTTGGCGCCAATCACCGAACCGTCGAGCACCTGTGCCCCCGTCCCGATGATGCAGTGGTCCTCAATCGTGCAGGCGTGCACCATCGCAGCGGGCCCCACCGTCACGTTGTCGCCAATCTTGGTGGGAATGTCACGATGGATCTTCGCCACGTGCACCACAGCCTGGTCCTGGATGTTCGTGTTCTCGCCGATCGTGATGTGATTGACGTCACCGCGCACTGTGGCATTGTACCAGATGGAGCTGCCTTTGCCCACTTTCACGTCCCCGATCACAGACGCATTGGGCGCCACGAACACCTTCTCCCCAAACGTGGGAGAGCGCCCCAAGTTCTTCACGGCGCGCGTCGAAGGGTTCACTACATCGCAAGCACACGCACACCTTAGCATCATATATCGAACTGCGTATCAGTGAACACTCGTCCTGGCGCGCCCCTCGTTCAACGTACGGTGCTCCGTGTAGGTGAGGTTCGCTTCGAGCGCGACGCCGACGCGGTCCATCGTCTGCCCCAGGGACCGGATGCACTTGCCGACCTGCTTCGCCCACATGGCTGGAGATGGAAAACGAGTATCGCAAGTGCTGGCCGCCCTCCGTTCGGGCTTTTGTGGCGTACACCGACGAGCGTTTGCTGAAAAAGTAGTCACTGCCCGATTTCGAGCATTGACCTGAAGTAGCATTTTCAGCAAGCGATTGCCACGCAGCACAGTATTGCAACTTCGTTTCTACCGCTTTATGTTCCCTTATATTTCGCAAATATACACAAATATTGTAGCATCGTTTCGATACCTACGATTCGTGAGGTTTTTACCGGAGCTTCTTTTTTAGGCTACGGTAATCGATTCGTCATCACATTGTACGCCGTCACAACGTCAGGTGGTATCTTCTGTTAACGACCTCATTGATCTTGTGTTACAATACTGTAACGCATGAAAGGCTGTAACATGCGCATGCTTGCGTGAGGGGCGATAAAACAACTTCTGAGTCGAAATTTATTCACAAAAGGCAACCAAAAGTTGTAAATTACACGTGTCATCGGCGCGCGCTGGGTATCGTCCACATCACCCCATGGCGCTCGCCAATCTCGAGCACCTACTCGACTTCGATTACTCCGTGCGCGTGAATCTATCCAATAGCTCCCTCTGCGGGCGCTATCAGCGATTAGTTGTTCTCAAGCTGCGCTTGGCACGGGTCGATGGGTCCGAGCGACAGGTTGACAAACACTACAACAATTTACTGGATCTCTTTCATGTCGACTAACGACGGATTCTCCTCTATGGTCAGGTAGTACTCGAGCTGGACGACCAGCAGCTCACTTTGCTTCTGCACGATTTCGGATGTATCCATCGAGAACTAAGGAACAACACGTAGAACTCAACACAAAGCACGCGGAGGCGCCAAGATGTATTCTCTAGTTACTCCACCTGCTCGTTTTAAGCACTGCAAAGGATCGTAGCCAACCTGACCTCCACTGTCGTAACGAATGCCCGCGTCCGCCGAGCCCTTCTGCCCATGGCATCCGTGTCTGCACTTTGGAACGAGATCCGCTTGTCTCATCAAGTTGTCCGTTCGACGTCATTCATCGTCCCGTCTAGTCGTCGATGAAGAAAAAGTTACCCGAAGTCTTCTGCTCAACATCCTTCACCGAGTCGTACTTGTTGATACGCGGGCGAAAGTTTGTGGGGTCCCGTCGGAAAGTGATCTCCAGCTGCTTCAGAAACGCGTTCATTCCAGTGAGCAGGCTTTGAGGAGCGTGTGCCGTACACTCGATACCCGGCTTGCCGTCGTACACGACCACGCGGTCGGCCAAGTACGTAGCCATAATGAAATCGTGCTCCACAACAAACGCCGTCTTTTTTGCGTGCAGGATAAAGCGCTTGATAACCTTGGCGGCTAGGATACGCTGTTCCGAGTCCAGGTAGGCAGACGGTTCATCAATCAAGTACAAGTCCGCGGGCTTGCCCAGACACAAGATGATTGCCACGCGTTGCAGCTCACCACCAGACAGGTGGGGCACGGCTTGATCGATGATGTTGTCGAGGTTCAACGGCTTTGTCACATCCGTTGCAAACTGCGGGTGGACAATTGCCTCGCGGATGCGGCGGTGCAGTAGTTCACGCACGGTACCCTGAAACTTTGGCGCAATCTTCTGCGGCTTATAACTGATCGTCGATGTGTCGTAACGCAACGCGCAATTGGTCACAGCTTCGTCATCGCCAGCCTTCTCGGCAGCCTCCATCTCGTCCGACTTCAATAGACCAGCCAGCATACGAATAAACGTGGTCTTACCCGTACCGTTCTCACCAAGCATACAGATGATCTCCGAGTTGGTAAAGTCACCCGCTTCGACGTGCAGCTTGAAAGCAGTGTCCTTCTTGCTATTGTACATTGTCTTGGTCATTGCAGGGTAATTGAATGAGTTGGCATCGCCCTCGCCTGTGCTGAACTCGTCGGCGTTTTGCGAGACCTTAAACGTGAGCTCCTCTGTGCGGAAGCGCAGGTTCTCCGTGGGCACGAAGCCGGCAAGAAAAATGTTGATACCTTCACGCACGCTAAACGGCATTGTCACCACGCCGTAGGCTGATGGCGTTCCGTACAGTACGCAGATAAAGTCGGATAAGTAGTCCAACACACTCAAGTCATGCTCGACACAGACCACGTACGAACGATCATTGTCACTCACCATCGAGCGAATGACAAGTGCAGCTTTGAGACGCTGGCGCACGTCCAAGTACGATGACGGCTCATCAAACATGTAAATGTCGGCCTTCTGCACCGCCACAACAGCAATCGCAAAACGCTGCAGCTCTCCACCCGACAGGTTCTCAATCTCCCGGTCCTGCACATGCGACAGATCCAGCTCGTTGAGAAAGTGGTCCAGCTGCCCCTGCTTTTCGCAACGAGTGGACAGGATGCTGTGTACCGTTCCTTTGACGGCCTTGGGAATCTTGTCCACATACTGCGGCTTGGTGATGGCCTTCAGGTTGTCTTCGAGGATGCGAGTAAAGTAGTTTTGCAGTTCCGAACCGCGAAAGTGGGTCAGGATCTCTTGCCACTCGGGCGGGGCATCGAACTTGCCCAAATTTGGCTTGAGCTTTCCAGCGAGGATGCGCAGCGCCGTGGACTTGCCAATGCCGTTCGTGCCAACGAGACCCAGTACTTGGCCTGGACGGGGCATCGGCAGACGGTGGAGTTTAAACGTGTTCGCGCCATAGCGGTGCGTCGTGTTGTTCTCGAGATCTTTCGGCAGATTGATGATGTTGATGGCCTCGAACGGACACTTCTTGACGCAAATGCCGCAGCCGATGCAGAGCTGTTCCGAGATGAAGGCCACTCGGCTCTTCGGCCCCACTTCGATGCAGAGCTTGCCCATGCGCACGACTGGGCAGGACTTTTTGCATTCCTGACGGCACTTTTTGGGCTTGCACTTGTCCGTGCTCACGATGGCGATGCGCGTCAGCTTGTCCGACATGGTGGATCGATCGACCAGTCGATCGGCTGGAGAGGATGGCCTTTGCGCTTTTGGGCGTCTCTGTCGAATTGGGTCGGAGCGGGTGGCTCGCTCCCCTTTCCGAGATAAAAAAAGCACTTGGTCTGGATATGCCCTGCCAGTTGGCTGGCGCAGAAACGTCTCAGCTCGGGTTGGTCGGCTAAGTACGGTTTGTCGATGTCCATCGGGAAGGGTACAAAAGTGTGCACACCTAGTACTTAGTCGAGTCGCTATGAATCGAGAAGTCGTCACATGAGGTCCCTGCACTCACTCATCGATGGGCGGTACCACCAGCAACATCTGCCTTTGCTGCAGCTACAAAAGTGTGTCGTCAAAGATGAAAAAACATAGCTATAAGCTTTAGACTCACGACCGGTCCTAGCCTTCAATTTACTGATCCAACACCATCGCAGACGGTGCCTCAACGGTCGCTGCATCTTTTTGCTTCGACGCCGACACGTTGAGTTGTGCCTGGTCCTTGAGTGCCGCTGCCGCCGGCTCAATGAGCGATATATTCTGCTCCAGCTCGCGCAAGTCCCGCGCTTTGGCCTTGGCCTTGCTATCCTTCATGCGGTTCTTGTAGAAAGCGGCCTCGCGCTTCTCCTTGATCTGCGTCACGCGCTCAATGGCGTGGATGGTGGCACCCATGAGCTCGCGATCGTACTTGACGGCGCGATGGCGTTGCTTGTCGAAGTCAAAGGTTGTGTCCAGCGCCATTTCCTTGCCCGCTGCCTTACGGAAGGACTTGGTCCATTTCACCTTACGCGGGTTGCGCTTGCGGTTAAAGTTCTTGTGGCACTTGGAGCGGCAGAAGCGGAAGATCTTGCTGTCGTTGCGCACGAACGTGATGCCGTGGCCCGGGTAGACAGGGCTTGAGCAGAAGTAGCACGTGTGAATGCGCATGGCTGCCGGGTGCTGTTGACCGCTGCTGCTCTACTTCTTCTGTCCGCAGGCGAGTGAAAGTAAGCTTTGTGGACGACGACATTGAATGGTTGGCAACGACGTATAGTCGTGTACATTACATAAAAAGCATTAGTCGAATTGAAAAACTATTGACAAATTGTAAAACTATTGATCAAGCTCACAGTTTCGTAAAAAAAACACCGCGTCAATCGAACGGCATCTGCTGACTAACTCCATCGAACAGCATCTGCTGACTAACTGCTTGTGTATGTACGCGTTCACTCCGACGCGTTCGCTATTCTTGTCCAGAAATGCCGACCAAATGAGTCTACCACCGACGGACGGCTTTAGCGGCTAAAGTTGCTGTGTCCAAACGCAGTCCGCTCAAGTCCGCCGTGCAGATTAACTTACAACCGTTGTCGCACCACTAGGAGCGCCAAGTCCACCCGACTCATTTCTTCACTCTTGAAGCAAGAAGGTCGCTGAGTTCCATCGGTCCCTTGGTCTCAGACTCTCGGAGGTCGTCCGCTGTTAGCACGTCTTGCTTCACTTGATTCGATGACTCCTGTTCGGCGATAGCGCAGTGCTGCTTGATGCGCTCAGACACAGCCGTGAGGTTCAGATCCGTCACGTCGGACACGTTGCTATCGTTCAAGTCCGGTCGACCGACAGCGCCTACAACGATACTCGGCCGCGACCTCGATGAAATCACCTCGTCCTCCATGATGTCGTTGAACATAATTTGGCCAGGAGGAGCGCGGGCCTGGTCAAACGTATAGGGCCTAACGGGAGCATTCTTCGGTGTATCATCCATGCCCGTATAACTGGCACGACCAGTACCAGGCGTTTCGATCGTGATGCTTTGCGGTGTGACGTCTCCATCCATAGAGCTGGCGTTCTCATCGAGGCTGGATTTGCGATCCAGACATTGCACCGGTCCTGCAAATTTAATCGGGCTACACTTCTTTTCAAGCGCAGCGCTGCTTCGTCGTCCTCGACCAAGAGCGCTAAGGTACGTGCTGCCCCGGTTATGATGGACAGTGGCTTCGTGCATGCTGAGCATAGCAAATTCCTCAGCATCCACGTCGCTATCACCAACAGGTCCGCTCCCGCTTTGAATTCCTGTGGCTGAAAACCCAAACATTCCCCGGCCATGCTTCAGGTTTCGCTTGTTGGTGCCTGCTTCAGGACCCCGGTCGATCTTGGAGCGCAACGTTACAAACCCGATCACCGCCAGCGCAGCGACTACGATGCCGCTTATAATAAGCAGACACATGAGCTGCGTCGACATACCTGAGCTGTCCGGCCTTCCACGTGACTCAGAATATGGCGTGGCGACGGTGTCCGCAAGTGCTGCAGTCGAACGCGCAAGCACTTGTACCTTCAGAAAAACCGCGAAGTCATATCGCTTGGATAAAGGCTCGTTGCTGGGCATGATCAAGTGGGCCACCACAGTGTAAGTCCCAGCGGAGTCAAACCGGAGCTCCGACGATTCGAACGCTGCCAGGCCACCGGTGAAGTTCAGCGGGGTGTTGGTCGTGTAGCCGCTCATCTGAGACCCGGCCGTCACAGGATTACAGTTTGTATTGAACGGGCACGTTTGCAGATGCGAAGTCGTGATTTCATAGTACTCTTGCAAAATTCGGTCGAGTCCTGCAGATAGACTGGTCACGCCAAAAGCGTTCGTTTTGAGGGCACCGCTGGACGTGACGCGCTTCGTGGCGTTCCACGATATGTCAACCGAGTCGTAGATGTGCACGTCGCCCGAGGGAATGGCGATCGACAGCTCCAGCGGACAGTTGGCGCCCTCGGCGCTCCTGATGTGTACAGATGTGGCATCCACCGTGTTGGAGTAGATCGACGTGTCAACCTGCCAGCAGTACGTGGTGACGCCGTCTAGGACAAAGTTGAACGAGTCGGTCACCGCGGACGTCGCAGTGGCCCCGTTGATCATCATCACAGCGGCGGCCACGGACAGCCACACGGGGGCACGCCAGTGTAAGGCTCTGCCATCGGTCCGGGACTGCAACCTGTACGCCTCTATCATTCTGCTTTGGTGCTTCTCCGTGTCACAACTAGTTCAAATGATCGATACACTGGAGCTGCGAACAACTTGACGGTCTTCCAAGGCACGATCGGGCGTTGCGTGGAAGTCTGGTCGTTCGATAGACAATGGGGTATTTCCACAGCTTTCGCCTGCGCTTTGTTTTCGCTTTTCCAAGATGTTTGCAGAGCTTCTTCTGGTCGAATGACGTCGCGCGACCGACCGCCCGGCTGGAAAACAGGTGGCGTTCCGAATGGAGGGTTGGGTTTGGCCTACAAGAGTACGATCGCCTGTATGACGCTCAATCGCAATGATGCGCAGCTGCAGAACTGCTCTGATTGGCGAACAGTTTTCATGGGAGCTGCTGTGGTGACCATTACACACACGGTACGCCCACCGTCTGGCGGAAAAGCTGGACAGCACTGCTACGGCGTGTGGTTTTCCTCACGCCAACAATGCTGCACAACCTCCACGACACATGAAGCTGTCAGCGCACGTTTGCTTCGTTGCGTGTAGGCCAATGTGCCTGCGGAAACAACTGCCGTCTACGTAGGCGCACGCAGGTTCACAGCGAACTTGGAGTGAATGCTTTGCATGCGGCGGTTGTAAAGCAGCCGATTACGAGCAGCGTATGATATTCGACCACACTCTACTTGCTGCGATAAGCAGCACCGCAGCAGAGTGTGCAAATCGGTCGTCAGTGGCGCGTTCTTGCCAGCAGCATGGGCAAGTCGGCTCTTGCCGTAATACCGAAGAGTAACATCGTAGAATGCCCCACCGCGGTAATTGCCTACCCTACTCGTCGTGGATAGGCCTTCATCTCAGCCACTGAACTCTCGACAGCGACAGAACGATTCTGTGGCGCTGAGGTTGCGAGCTGTATGTGCTTGCTGAACCATTGTTATGGCAACACGTGGGACAAGCTCCGGCAAATTTCTCAGACGCCAAGCGCTCCACAATTACTAAGAAGTACCCCTGTTGTCCTGTTTACGGCGCGAAACTCAAATTATAATCTGCATCCGCTTTACAAGGGGTTCTGCTTCTCGCATAGAAAGCGTCAGGGTATGTTTGCGGCAATTAACAGCAAAAGTTGATTGGCTGCCCTGACTTGAGTACACAGGCTGTATGTACCCGGGCGATCATATAGCAAGGGAGAGCCGCAAGCGATGTGCACCACAACGCTTGCGTTTGCAGCTGCAGCGGACGATAAGGCTCTTTGCATGCAAAAACTGCGTGTGCTTCGGTGCAATTGTGTTGGGTACTGCACAGAAAGGCTCTGCGACCTGGTGGGCGAAATGGCTTCCAGCACACTGCGTGGTGAGTGAGACTTTGTGGTCGGGCAACGAGTCTGCATGATTCAGAAGGCCCATGTAAGTGTTCATGCGCAGTGCGTACTATACAATTGGGTCTCGACGCGACGCCACACGCATGAAGTGAGAATGCACTTGAAGTGTGGTGTCTTTTCCGACCTATCCCGGTGATGTGCTGCTTCTAGATCTGGCAAGCAATCGTGACCTTCTTGTTCATCAGGTAGCCTTTGTAAGTAAGCCTCTTAAATGACATGTTTTAGTGCCCCCGCCGATGCGATAGCAATCAGATTGGCCACACTCCGATCTCTGTTTGCTTCCATAATCGACAGAGGCATCATAAATTGTGTGCGGCTGTTGACCTGTTGGATCAAAGGCATATACTATGGTGATATATTGATTAAACGGCCTAGTTTTCATGTCCTACACATTGAAATTTTAGCGTTTTGCTCAAATACGGCATATTTGACTTTGCATTTTGTAATACACCATTTTACAAAATGCAAAGTCAAACGTGCCGTCTCAGGTCGCAGCGTTTCTACATATTTCGTCCGCATCGATGCGTGCACGAGCCCGAGAAGCGGGTCATCACGTGAACCTTGAGACATGGTTTGAGAGTCGTCCAACTCGTGTTTGCAGCATGCATTATACGAATCAACTTAATCGACATATCAGCAATCTCTGAGAACTCAGCGGCAGGCAAATGATGTAAAGCAAATAACGCCAAGATAAAGCTCGTTCGAACATATTCGAGATGCTGCAAGTATACTGTCACAAGGCTTGGACGAGCAAAGTAGGTCCACTGCTCCGTGCTCTGATCACTCTCTGCAGGAGAGCGCAAGCGTTTTCAGTGTCCCCGAGCGCTATTTGCTCGTATTATGTTGGCATTGATTGTACAAACAAATAATTATTGTTGGTGATCAAACGTATGCTGGTTTCACGAAGCCAATGGCTCATAACTTATAAGTAATATTATGATCGTGCATGACGACAGAAAAACACGGGACGGGTTAAACATCCCCAACTGAAAGACTACCTGTCCCCAAGTCTATCCCCAACTACACAAAGACATATAATCAGTTATGTTTGGGTCGTAATTTGTGCTCGTCTTGACAGATGGCAAAACGACAGCGGTACATAGCACCGAGTTCTACGCTAAGAGAAGCTCAAAGAACACAAAGAAGCCTAATAGGAAAATCACGACCCTGCCCGGGTCCCCGCCGTTTCAAGAGGAGGCGAACGAGCCCATATAGCCGAGCCTTGCATGCAATGTGTCACTTCTAGCCGCAATTGCATTCCTATGAATGTACGCGGACCCACGTAAACGAAACCATCGGAATAAGGTAGGACCGTGATTCGCCTACGGCATACAAATCGAGGCTCTGACAAGTAGCTGATCATTTCTTCTGCAACTTCAGGGCGGTATGTAAAAGTTGACAAGCTGTCCTGCGACTGAGCACACTTTCTGGCAGAACAAGATGTATATGGTATTGGTTTTGCATACTAGTGCGTCTCCTATGTCGTTGATGTACAGAGGTCAGTGGACAACGCCAGGATCTAGAAGGAGCTCACAAGACAAGAATTAAAGGGAAGTGACAGACTGTTTTGCTCAGCATGACAGTCTTGTGATTCTTTTCCGACGCGCGTGTCGCTACAAACGATGACAGTATGCAGCTGCGATCTAGTGTTGTACATATCTGTATCGTGAATGACAGGATGACTGGACAAACAGTGTGGATGCGCCGTCGCTCTCAAGCTGCTGATAAGCCTACGTCATGAAGAGTGCTAGGTTGCAAAGGTACGTAAGTGACCCTGTTCTTTAAGTATTTTTATATACTCAAGCGCTCTGGGGTCAATGGTATGCCGTGGACTGGCGAATACGTCTACAACCCGCAGATGCTACGGTAACGAAGCCACTGTTGTTACCGCAGCTGCCTACTAATATCGAACGGACTCGGCGCATGTATATATATATTACAGAGTCACTTATTCGTTGGATGAATTGTCCAGCCTCGAGCGTATATGGATACTGATAGCTCGAGCTTTAACAGACGAAGTCACAACGGTACGCACTCAGTGAGCTGCAGCAACAACATGACGCGAGGTCCGGATCACGCGTGTCGATGCTGATGCATTAAAGGTGTAATATGAAATTAAACTTATGCCGAGATCAGCTACGTGCTCATATCTTGTCTTAGAACTTTAAACGCATCTCGTGCATGTAAACTTTCATCAACAATTATTCAGTTCTTGTTATACGAAGCGCGTGATTACATGTATGAAAAGTTAGCTCAAGGACATACGGGGCATCCTCATCATTGATTTTTGCAACAAACAAGCATATGCGTGCAGACATTGGCATGCTTATGATACAGCAAATCGGCTTGATTGAGAAACATTCATAGCAATAATTCGTGTAATGTCAAAGCATTAATAATTAAACTGTTAGCATTTTTTAAGTAGATGTCAACGTTGACGACCGTGATGTAAGCAAGAACAGCATGTATGGATTTAGTGTATTAAAGTGAAGATGTGGGGTGTGCCGATCATTGCCATAAAACTTTAAAGTAGCACCAACATTACCACCTCATTTGATAAGCACCCATCATTCAAGTGCTAGTCTCAAAGTAATGGAGGTTCTCTTCTACTATAGCCGATATCCGTGAGCTTAATCGTATTTGGAGTGACCGGAAGGATATTGAACATGTACTTGATCGGGTGCGGGGCAATCACTTGGAAAATGAAGATGTCTTGCTGACGAATATCCATCCAGAAATCTGAATCCAGTAGATATATAAGTCGCGATAGGATCGGATAAAGGCAAACAGTAAGGTTTGCAGCACGTACCTAGCTCAAACCTGTATGTCGTCAGTGCAGCACCTTGGATCGAAATTGTCTCACGTCAGTGCTGTAGTTTAGCTCGTATTTCTTGGTGTTTGTTTCCAAACGCTAAGACGTAACGTTTAGCACTGGTGTGTGGGGGGAGCCTTTATATATACATGTTCATGTATAAATCTATATATTTAAATATATACATATATTTGTATCGATCGCAAGACGCAAGGCTATGTACCGCTGTCGTTTTGCCATCTGTCAAGACGAGCACAAATTACGACCCAAACATAACCGATTATATGTCTTTGTGTAGTTGGGGATAGACTTGGGGACAGGTAGTCTTTCAGTTGAGGATGTTTAACCCGTCCCGAAAAACACCTCTTCATAATTTTCGTAACAGAAACAACAACTGTTCAGAGCAATCCGAGAAAACTTGCAGAAAAGTCACCATACGATCCTGTTGGTTGTCCAAGCTATTTCAATTGTCCAGCTACGTTGCAGAGACATAGAAGAAGCACAATAACGATCACAAATTTACATAGAAGGGCAAGTACTTTTGAGACTGGGTCCCGCAGCTTAATCAAAGTACGACTTGCCGAGGTCCGTCAAATTTTGTTTGTATTCCACGCTATAACACGCAATGTAATTCACAGAGGTCCAAGTGTCGTCGAACCGCGAATTCTAGGTCCAGTTGGGATCATCGAACGTTTAAGGGATATCCGCACGACCAAAAATGGCATTCATACATGATTGCACCTGTGGCCAACCAAG